ACAAATTCTCTGAAAATCGCAAATGCCTCTGCTGTCTGGTATGGTGGACAGTTACACGGCATGTGGCTCTTAATATTTGGTCCCTGGCAACTGCTTATGTAACTAACCAGTTCAGCAGCAACTGCAGATTCTACCATTGAATATATTATCAGGTTTTGTAAGTGTTTGAGCTTAAAACTCACTCAAGTATACATTAGTAAATCATTATCACTCCAGTCACCTTCGAAAGCAAATGCAAATGTTCTGGTGAGTACGCCTGTATTCACAGAGCAGACCTCCTGACAAAGAAGCTGCCGTCTGCAATACATGCATGAGAACACGAGCTGGAATTACAGTAATTTCTATAATAGCTAAAATACAATTAATATATCTGATGTCCAGAGAATGCCAGGAAACATTTTTTTCCCCACTTACTTTCTGTGTGAAAAGTAATTTACAGTATTTCAAAGTGCTATCTAGAAACTGCACGCAGCAGCCAAGCACAGGAGAAAAAGAGAGCCAAACCCTGAACCCTACCAGCCCACAGAGAAGCCTGTTTTTCTTTTTGCAAACTTGTGGAATGATGCCAGTATTCAAGGTCAGTATCTACCCATTGCTTTTTAGTATGGCCCCTCAGCCCCCTCATTTGGGGTGGGGAGGGGGCAGAGGGGAGCTTTATCTTTGGAACATTTTCAACACGTTGAGAACTGGCACATGGGGAAAAAGATACAGGAGCGGGGTGGGGAAATAAAAGGTAAGTCTAGTCCAACAGGGAAACTGAAAACTCCTTATGGAAAAAGGTCTATTCAAGCCTCAGGAAGCAAAAAAAAAAAGGTATGAGCATAGCTGCTCCCAAAGTGGCTATAGCTAAGTGATGAAGCAACTCCCCTCTTCTTTACTGCCTTTGGCAAACAGCCCAGTCCATTTCAGGCTCCCCAGGTAAACACCCAAAAGCTCCAAGAAAATATCAGTTTTATCCCGATGTCCTGGTTTCGGCTGGGATGGAGTTGATTTTCTTCCTATTAAACGGTACAATGCTGAGT